ATGCAAGTCAAGATATTCTATTGGCTGTGGAGGGGCTCTATGAATGCAGAGCACATGACCTGGGGTTCAAGGCAAATGTAGCAGAAAGATTAGGCATCCAAAACCACAAACAGGAATGACACTGGGAAAATATGACCCAGGACATTCATTTTGCCTGTCCTCATGGCATAAAGTATCAAGTGCACCTTTCACCTCTCAAGAAGCAAAAACAGTGAAAAAAATTTGTAGGTAAATTTAGCTCCAGGCCCAGATGGCCTGACAGCAAAAATGTTTAAATATACAGCCTAAGCCGTGGCTGCAGCCCTCTTTCTTGCTTTCAGTCTATTTCTACATCATGGCTCTCTTCCAGTAAGAAAAACATGTTCTTCACTAAGATCCATAAGGCTGACTAGCAATCTGTTTTCAACAGTTTTTCTGGAATCTGTGTCCAATCCTTGGTCTGTGATTTTACCTGATAGCTGGGTGTTATCCCTGGGCCCGTTGCCCTCCAGCAAGTACCCACACACAGTGTGAGATGCTGGCTGCCTTGTGTGGGGCTGGAGGAGCTGCTGCTTCACCACCACTCTTGCCAGGGCCAGCAGTAAGGTGCTGCCCACCCTGGGCTGCCGGATGCTGGTGTCCATTCAGGGCTGGGGGGCAGCCTTCTTCATGTAGACATAACTAAAACTGCACTCTGCAAAATGCCCAAAAAGCACTAAGGTGAATCAGAGAATTATAGAATTGTTTGTGTTGGAAGGGACCTTAAAGATCATCTAGTTCCACCGGAAGACTGCCCACTAGACCAGGTTGCTCAAACTTCCATCCAGCCTGGCCTTGATCTCTTCCAAGGAGGGGGCAGCCACAAACTCCCTGGGCAACCTGTTCCAGTGTTTCACCAATTTCACGGTGAAGAATTTCTTCCTAATATCTCATTGAAATCTCCCCTCTGGCCTGGTCCACCCATGCCCCAGCAGAGATGATTGGCACCCATGGGTCTGCAGAGATGGGTTCGCAGATGCCCAGTGACTCAGTCTGGCCTCTGATTTAGTGCTCTCTGATTTAGCAGTATCTTGACTTGCATTTAAAGGAGGAGCAGCTCCTGCAACAGGGCTCCACACTGCTCCCTCCTGTGTCCCAGGCATTTTTCTTTTCCCCTTGCACATTTTCCTTTTGGAAATAAGCCATTCATCTACTCCACAGCTCTGTGCAAAATATCTCCTGGGCAGCAGAGCATTTTTTGCCATCAAAACAACCCAGAGAAACCGAGATGCGGATGCTCAGCACCTCAGAGAAGAAGCCCAGATCTCTCCAGTCTAGTCCAGTACTGGGCAAAAGGACTCAGAGGTGTCACAGAGGCTTCAGCTGGGCTCCAATAACTCACAAACCTAAAATGTTGGGTGTAAGAAACAAAAAGAGCTGTGGTCTTACTTTGCTGCTTGGACTCAGTTGGCAAGATTGAAGCCGTCTTGAGGCGTGTGGCATCTATTTTTACACAGCTTGCTTCAAAGTTGTTAAAGCTGAGAATAGTCTCCCCATTTCTTTCAATAGACATAGGTATGAATTTAACTAAAAAAAAAACCCTGTGATTAAAATAGTATAATCAGGGATTTTAAAATTATTAAAGTGTTGGGAGCTGTGTTCACCACCAGTTTCTCTTCAGACATGGGTTGCAAAAGCCAGGCTCATGTAAGACTGTGACTAATCTGCCAGGCATAAAATCAGCCCATGGCTCAGAGAACAATAATTTTCCTAAACTAAATTTCATTTCCCTATATTTCCCTGGCCTTTCTCACTATTGCCAATTTTTTCTCTTAATATTTTCCTTTTTCTTGGCAGTCAAGCCCTGGAATTGGTGCCCACCCTGTCTGCCAGCTCCAGTCAAGCCTTGAAATGCTAGTAGGCTAAGCTCCAAAAGGATGTGAAATTAATTTATAAATGGCAATTATTTTAAACTAATCCTTCCCAAAAGAACTCTTGAGCAATTTTTTCCTCTCCATGTTTGAGATAATTGTGATGGTGGTGTTGTGTGAGCCTTTGAAAACTTTCTGCTAACAACTTACACCATTTATGCAGCAGGACAAGGGTGGCAGGAGAAGTCTTCTACCAGTCTCACAGTCAGCCTCACTGCTCCTTTTATTTGTGGGTCGTTTGCAGCTGCCTTTATGTCCAGCTGTTTATCCTGATCTCTCTTAAGTGCCCCATATCTTGCAGAGTTTTTAAAATTTTCACATTTAGAGGTAAAACTGCATTTTCTGTCATATTTTGTCTAGCAGTCATTTAACAGTCATTTCTCAGGAGATGAGGGCTGTGGTGCAGGCAGCCCATAGCAAGTGACAGTCCCAGTTTCACCCAGCATAGTTCACTGCTCCTCTACATCTCATCTTCAGCCAGCGCCGTCACATGTGTCCATGGTGCTGACATTGCTGCTCCCTGCCCCAAACAGCCCCTTGGGAATGAAATTGCATTTTTCACACGCTCCTCCCAGTGAAGAAGGATCACCCTGGCAGTGTTGGCTGAAACAGGTCCTCATCTGGAAAGTGGAATCCGGTTCCTTTCCATGAGCAATATACCCAGTGCTTATTCACTCTGCACCCCCATCTTCATTCTGCCATCCTCTTACTCAGACATGGCTGATGGGTGGAGGAAACACCACGACAGAGCCTCTGAGGTGACCTTGTGCTCCCAAATATCACAGGTACATCTGTGCCTCTTGAATCTGGGCCCTTCAGACACCACCCAGCACCTTCTGACTAGTGCCCTTGGCCAGGATGCTGCATATCCAAAGGGGAAGGGATGTGCTGTAGATGCCTTGGAAAAACTATGCAGGTGTTTGAAGTCAAAGCGTCTGGTAACATGCAGAGCACCCCCAAAACTTTCCAGCAGGGGGCAGTTTCAATACAATCCGTCTGGGGACGGAGTTTGAAGTCCAGGCTTCCCACTCTGTAGCTTTTGTGGGTGATAATTTCTTGCCATACTTTGCACCGCCGCTGCTCCCGGTTTCCCACAAAGGGGGAAATGCTAGCATGCTGGAAAACTTCAGGTCATTTTGGAGAACTTAGTATCAGCACTCAACAGCTCCTGTTCATTGGAGCAGCCAGATAAGCACACCACACAAGTGTCTTTCCAGCAAGCTCAGCCAACAACAGTTGTTTGCAAGTACTTTTTATTTGCCTTCTGGTTTGCTGAGACTTTAGGATGCACTTGGGTACCATTTGCCAATCAGTCTCTGCAGCCAGGTGCTCTAGATATTTTATCACTAATTCTTCCTTAATAAAACCTCAGCTTTTCCCATTATCACATTAATCTGGAAAGCAGAGCTTTAACAAAAATGTTGAATGTCATGAATTGTTATGAAATCACCACAGCCAGCACCACGGTATTCTGAATGGCTCCACCAAGACACATTAATTGGATTAATAGGTGAGTCTAGTTGCTTCTGCATCCTCTGTT